TTTAATGGTTAGGCCGGGAGACAGACCCAAAAAGACCTGTGGGTGTGTTGAAGGTGTTCTGGAAAATGCGGACCGGATTTGGGGAACACCTGCGCAAAATAGTGGAATGGATCGTTTCAATCGGTGAAACTGGAAAATACGGACCAGATTTTTTTTTTTTTAAACTGGATCGGCGGTCTGGATCAGCATTTTTACATGGTTTGCCGATACGCATTTTTTTTTGCCAATATCGGCGTCCGATCCAATACGTGGATCGGATCGGGACAAGCCTATCAAACATACCTTTTCATATATGAAAAGGCGATTTCCTAATATCCTAATATCTCAGCTGTACTTTTTGCTAAATCTGTGTGGAGTTAGGAAGATGAGGAGGAGGCATTTGTTGCAAGAAAAAACGGTTCAAATTTATTTAACCCCCTCAGACGGAGAGATAGGGCTCTGACTGAGGCATCCTCGGTACATACTTTATATCTACAACATCCTAGCACACACACTCCTCTCCAGGGGAACCAACCCACCCCCTGCATAAAGAACTTTCTCACACTTGAACATTTAAGCAAAACAACTTGAGTTAATCAAAGCCGTTCCCTGTTAGGTTAATATATATTTCACTGGCCGGATGGATCTCCTCAAAACAACAATCCTCTCCTTCATGCCATGAAGGAAACTGTAACTCATTCTTATCTCTCATCACCTTCGTTTGGAGCCTGTGAGGCTAAGAACAGACATATCTTAACATTTTTTACTCCACAGCTGCTGACAAGGTTTTTTTTGCCTCTGTGGAGTTAATTTGTTCCATCATTTTTGCAAGCAAAAAAATGTTTTTTTGAATGCAAACGTAAAAAGGAAAAATCGGTTTCTCATATGTTATTTTTTATTTTTTTCAGATTAAGTTTAATAGATCACATTCTTTTCACTTCTGAGTGAGGAGCAAAGACACCTTTCTATTGGTCAGGAGTGAGTGTTTAGTATTGGCTTTAAGTGGAGAGATTGTGATCTGGGAAACAGAATTTGAAAGGAATGCAATTAATAAAAGTCGCTATGAAAAACAAAATACAAAAATATATAAATGAGTAAAAACATTTTTTAATACAATTTGAAAAAATTAAATATGAAAGAAATACAAAAAAAAAACATCTGACAAAATAGTTTCTGATGATTGGCAAAACTATGATCTAAACCTCTTTTTTAATTAAAAACATTATTTTAAAGTGAATTTCTGGATTCCATTTTATTTATTTTTTCAAATTGCCATTTAAAAACACCTTCTTTGCATGCAATAAGAATGACATAGTCTTGCTGGTATGTTT